GAGTGTGTGTGTGTGAGAATGAAAGTGAGAGTGACCTCACACAGAGCAAAAATATATGACAAACACAAATAACGTTCACTTTAACAACAGTGCAATAAACTAGCAATGGAATTAATACAAAATTAATTCAACTACCACACTGAATTCAACATTTATTGATAAGCGACAGAATGTACGCTCTGATGAATGGTGACGTGAAAAAAATATTCACAAGCTTCCTCGCAAGCAAATCTTCTTGGGGTCAGCAAATCTCCCAAGGTAGCCATGTCTAGCTGTATATGTACTTCAACGACGGGGGTCTATACCCAAAAATACCATACTATACAAAACAAACAAGCCGGGAAAATTTATAAACCCACTCTTTTCTGTGAATCTGTGATGGGCACTTGTGACATGCCCTACGGTTATCAATCATGAATCACACGATCCCAGCGACTTCTAGAAGGTGAGAAGAGTGTGATTAATAAGTGAATAACAATTCACCTTACACCCTAGTCCTTCATTATTTAAGGGACCGTCATGGGTAAATCGGGCTGATTGTGAAAAAACGGTCCTAGAGATCTGATTTTTTAATTTTTTATTAAGTCCCCGCATTTCACATTGATAACTTTGAAATAAAAGGAGAAAAAAATTAAAATGTTTAGAAATACATAGTACAATTCTATCCCTAAAGGCTCATTTAATATTAATACTATACTAATTTAATTATTCCCAGGTGAAAGCCAAGTAAATTATCTATAGAACCTCTAGATTAAAATATAAAATATGGTATTTTAACAACTGATGAAAAATTCGTAAAAAATGTGTTTTAAAAAAATGCAAAATTTCCATCATTAAAAAATCATTATAAATCTGACAATGCATAATTTAAGATTTTTTTAGCAAAATTATAGCTAATCAAAAGACAAAGAAAACAAGACTAAAATGAAGAAAATCGAACAATAAATAATGGAAGAGTTAAACAAAATGTGGCAAAAAATTGGTTTCGAGATACGGGGCCTCAAAGTTGACAGACGAGGTGGAAGGTGGAGGGGCGTGGTCGAGTGGCTAGAACCCTCAAGCTGCATATGAAATAGTTGTGATGCCCTTCACTTCCTTTTCTTCGCGACTTACGAAGCTCTTCTGCTTTTCAGTGAAGGTAGACGCACATGGTTGAGATGGCATGGGGGGGGGGAGAGGACCTCGCTCAGCGGCAGTGCCACATCCCTCTCTTCTGTTATCTTTTCACTAATTTCTACGTTCTTTTCCATCTCCCTTTTCTCTCGAATGGCCCTCCTTGCTGCTTCAGTACATTTCTGAAGTTGTCCTATATTTCTATTGCATTTCGGCAAGGTGGTAAGGAATTTATAGTATACGAAATAAGAGAATGTGAGACATAGATCTACTCATCACTTAGGCTTATGCCGCACTGTTTGCTTCTCGCATAGAGACCTCACTCAGCCACTACCCTCCTGGCACAGATGCCAGAGAGGATTATTCTTCCGATTATTGAAACAAATTATTGCAAATTCTTTATTTACAGCGATTCTAATGTGATACATGCACGGATGTTCGATTGTGCGATATGTGAAGAGGCCACACTCTTATGAAATAGACATCAAAAATCCTGTTCTAGTTTAGATAATTGATTCATACTTTCAGAGGATGTTGCCAAAGCATGGAAGGATTTTTGGTAATTTTTTCAAAAATTTTGATTTTTTTTCATTTTTTTCAATAAATCACCCATGACAGTCCCTTAACACACATGCTTCAGGTCACCCAACTCAAATGTTGCCAATCGTATGAATAACTTTGGTTATACCTGTACCTACTATCATAACATAGGAACATAGATCTATTAGGCGATTCACACAATCCTAGGTTATATCAGGCATCCCTCTGCACTATGATATCTATATAAACTAGCGTTACAAGTTCTATTCCAGCACCAACAGAACATGTCACCATCTGTTAAGCTTATAGCCGGTAGATGTGTGTGTGTGCGCGGATGTGTGTGCATGCATGCATGTGTGATGCTACACTTTCCTATGATGTAAACAATTTTAAACAACCAAATTAATGGGAACAGCAAGCTGTCTCTGAAGCCATTTCAGGTGTCGATCGACCGGAAGTGAGAGAAAGTGAGGTCAGGTCACCCAGCTGCCCAGACGGGTTCCATGATTAACAACTGTCAGGTCAAGACGTGAAATGTGCAATGAGAATAAATCACGAACCCGTTAAATTCGTTGCAGTTGAAACAATATAAATCTCTAATAATGAGAAAAAATAATTAAATACTTAACAAATGAACGACATTCATGTTTGTTGACTACATATCATGATCACACAGTAAGGTCAGAAGTGAGAGCATTTCATTTGCTGTCACTTAGCACTTTTACCCAACTGTACATACGGCTTAACAAATTTATGGGAGAAGAAGGGAGGGAAATGAAAGGAAAAGGCCCAAAACCTGTACTCACGTGATTTTGAAGAAATGGTCATGGAAGCAATGGGTTGAGCGGATTTCGGAGACTGTATCCGTGTTGCGAGCCAAAAAGGACGCAATGACCACCTTGCCACCAGTTTGTAAAATATATAGTGGCTAGCAGGGCAGTAATAGTTGTTATAATGGATGGGACTCTTAATTGCACCAGAGTACAACACAGTGAAGGAAACACACGAAACGAGTCTAAGGGTAAGCACTGAGCGTGGGATCGCGTGGTCCTACCCTCTAGCCCTGAGACGCCAGAGACTAGATCCAGTCACGCTGGTTGCTGAGGCACAACTCAGGGGTCAAACAAGGTCAGATAAACACTTCATCTAAGTCCTCGCTGAGGCGTTGGTTCTTAATTGGACTTCGACCCACGTGGCAAACAGCCACGCGGTCTATGTCTAATGGCTTACACAAATCGTGCTTATGTACACAGTAGGCGTGTGTGTGACTGTGTGTGTGACTGTGTGTGTGTGTGTGTGTGTGTGTGTGTGTGTGTGTGTGTGTGTGTGTGTGTGTGTGTGTGTGTGTGTGTGTGTGCATTGTGTGTGTGTGTGTGTGTGTGTGTGCATTTGTGTGTGTGTGTGTGTGTGTGTGTGTGTGTGTAGGTGTGTGTGTGTGTGTAGGTGTGTGTGTGTGTGTAGGTGTAGGTGTAGGTGTGTGTGTGTGTGTAGGGTGTGTGTATGTGTGTAGGTGTGCATTTGTGTGTGTGTGTGTGTGTAGGTGTGTGTGCAGGTGTGTGTGTGCATGTGTGTGTGTGTGTAGGTGTGCGTGTGTAGGTGTGTGTGTGTAGGTGTGCGTGTGCAGGTGTGCGTGTGCAGGTGTGCGTGTGTAGGTGTGCGTGTGTAGGTGTGCGTGTGTAGGTGTGCGTGTGTAGGTGTGCGTGTGTAGGTGTGCGTGTGTAGGTGTGCATTTGTGTGTGTGTGTGTGTAGGTGTGCATTTGTGTGTGTAGGTGTGTGTGTAGGTGTGCATGTGTAGGTGTGCATGTGTGTGTGTGTGTGTAGGTGTGTGTGTAGGTGTGTGTGTGTAGGTGTGCATGTGTAGGTGTGTGTGTAGGTGTGTAGGTGTGTGTGTAGGTGTGTGTGTGTGTGTAGGTGTGTGTAGGTGTGTATGTGCATGTAGGTGTGTGTGTGTGTGTGTGTAGGTGTGTGTGTGTGTAGGTGTGTGTGTGTGTAGGTGTGTGTGTGTGTAGGTGTGTGTGTGTGTAGGTGTGTGTGTGTGTAGGTGTGTGTGTGCATGTAGGTGTGCATGTAGGTGTGTGTGTGTGCGTGTGTGTGTGTGTGTGTGTGTGTGTAGGGGTGTGTGTGTGTGGGTGTGTGTGTGTGTGTGTGTAGGTGTGAGTGTGTGTGTAGGTGTGTGTGTGTAGGTGTAGGTGTGTAGGTGTAGGTGTGTAGGTGTAGGTGTGTAGGTGTGTGTGTGTGTAGGTGTGTGTGTGTGTGTAGGTGTGTGTGTGTGTGTAGGTGTGTGTGTGTGTGTAGGTGTGTGTGTGTGTGTAGGTGTGTGTGTGAGTGTGTGTGTAGGTGTGTGTGTGTGAGTGTGTGTGTAGGTGTGTGTGTGTGAGTGTGTGTGTAGGTGTGTGTGTAGGTGTGTGTAGGTGTGTGTGTGTGTAGGTGTGTGTGTGTGTAGGTGTGTGTGTGTGTGTGTGTGTGTGTGTGTGTGTGTGTGTGTGTGTGTGTGTGTAGGTGTGTGTGTGTGTGTAGGTGTGTGTGTGTGTGTGTGTAGGTGTGCAAGTGTGTGTAGGTGTGCAGTGTGTGTGTGTAGGTGTGCAAGTGTGTGTGTGTAGGTGTGCAAGTGTGTGTGTGTAGGTGTGCAAGTGTGTGTGTGTAGG